GAGTGATAAAAAAATAGAAGACTAGTCTTGTGCTTTTGGATCGCTCCAAAAGTAAAGTTAAAAAATAAAAAAGGAAGGAGATAGGATAAAATAGAGTTAAAGAGGATGGATGTCAGCCAGAGTGGAGAGGTGTACTCGGAAAAAATTCACTTTTGCGAGAGTGCGGCCATGAGCCCCCCCCCCTCCCGTCCACCACCCACCACTCACTCCACTTCCACCCACTACTCACCGACACCTCCCCCATCATGTGGCGCCACACAGTCATCGGCACACTTCGGACGCTTGCCGGCAGCCGGGCAGCACAACTTGGAGGTAGGACAGCGACTCGGACCATGGCTCGCGGAGCAGGCGGAGTCGGGGCGACGCGTCAGCGTCTGACGACAGCTGGCGGCGCGGTGATGCGGACGATGCGGGCGATGCAGAGCCTGGCAGGGAGCCAGGGTGCGGGCAGAGTCTTTGCAGCACAGGCTGGGGGCTTGCTGGGGCAGAATGCCGTGGCGATGGCCACCAGGAGCATGCCCAAGTCGGCTGTCGTGGCGCATGCGAGTCGGTCCTTGGCCACTTTGGCGTCGGCGAGGACGACCGTGTCGTCGGCGCCGGTGCGGATGCTGACGACGTCGGTGCGTGCGCGGGCACAGGCACAGGCACAGGCGCAGACGCAGGTCCAGGGATGGGGAGGATCCAAGGCTGTCCGTAACTGGCTCGGCGTCACATCGGGCCTGGTCTACGGCATGGTGGTGCTGGGCGGAGTGACGCGGCTGACCGAATCGGGCCTCTCCATGACCACCTGGTCGGTTACCGGATCGCTCCCGCCTTCCACCGACGAAGAGTGGGCCGCCGAGTTTGCCAAGTACCAGGACTCGCCCGAGTACGAGATCCTCAACAAGGGCATGACCGTCGACGAGTTCAAGCGCATCTTCTACTTTGAGTACTCGCACCGCATGCTCGGGCGCCTCATCGGTGCCGCCTTTGTCCTGCCCATGGGCTATTTTTGGGCCCGCGGTGTGCTCACGACCCCGCTTAAGAAGGCTCTGCTCGCCATCGGCGCCATGATCGGCGGCCAGGGCCTGCTGGGGTGGTACATGGTCAAGTCTGGCCTTAAGGACGAGTTTGACGCCTCGGGCAACGCCCCGCCGCGAGTCTCACAGTACCGCCTCGCCGCCCACCTCTCGTCGGCGCTGGCCATCTACTCGGCCATGCTGTGGACCATGTTTAACGTCGGGACCACGGGCTCGCCGCCGCTGAACGCGGCCCAGCTTGCGCCGCGCGCGCTCTCGGTTCTCCGCAACAAGTCGACCGCCCTCCTCGGCGTTCTGGGCGTAACCATTGTCTCGGGCGCGTTTGTGGCCGGCCTTGATGCTGGCCTGGTCTACAACGAGTTCCCGTTGATGGGTGGCTCCATCATCCCGTCGGACATTGTGCGTGACGATCTGCCGCTCTGGCGCAACGTGTTTGAGAACGACGTCATGGTTCAGTTCAACCATCGGCTCCTTGGCCTCACCACGGCCTCGGGCGTCCTTGCCATGTGGGCATACGCCTCGCGCCTCCCGCTTCCTCGGCCGGCCAAGATCGCTACCAACGCCGCCGCTGCCCTTGTTGTCGCCCAGGCCTCACTCGGCATCTCCACCCTCCTCATGTTTGTGCCTGTCAAGCTCGCCGCCATGCATCAGGCCGGCTCGGTTGCCCTCCTCTCCTCGCTCCTCTGGCTCCTCCATGTCCTTCGCCGCGTCCGCATCTGACCGTGATCATGCTTGATCATGCCCCCCTTCCCCCCCTCCACTAAACCTTGGCATCCCTTCCGCTCTCTCATCGCCCTCGCCAACCTCGCTCCGCCTAGCCCGTCACCCGACACCCACTGCTGTCTGCGTGCGGTCCGCCGCGTTTCGGGCTCCAGCCACACCACGCCATCGCACCCTGCGGACGCAGAAGCAGAGGCAGCGCGTGTACGCGCATACACCTGACCACTCCCCCCCCCCCTACCCCGTCCCGTCCTCCCTCCCTCCCCCCTTCCTGTCGTGCTGCGTTGCTTCCCTGGTACTGCTCACAGACGGACACGCAGACAGACGGAGACACCGACGAGCGCACCGTCGCGGAGACTACTACATCGGGAGGCCCAACACCAGCCCAACTTGCCGCCATGGCAGAGGTCTCGATGTGTGGGTATTTGCTCAAGCGCGGCGAGGTCAATCGCAACTACTCGGTCCGATGGTTTGTGCTCGAGGCGGCGATGCTGTGGTACTACCAGTCGCCAAACGCGAGCAAGGCCATCCAGTCCATCTCGTTGGAGGATGCTATCGTCCGCAAGAGCGCGGCGCCTGCCGGCTCAAAGCGCCGCAAGGGCAATGTGTACTACTTTGAAGTTGTAGCCCGCGACAAGGTCTGGGGCCTTGGCGCCCGGTCGGCTGCCGAGCGCGCATCGTGGATGTCCGCTCTCTCCACCCTCACGATGATGGGTATGGAGAACAAGTACTTTATCAAGGCTGAGGAGGTTATTCGCCAGTCGGAGCTGTACAAGTACCGCCGGCGCCACGGATCGCGGGCGCAGCGGGCGTCGGCGGTTGCTGCTGGCACCGCTGGCAGCGAAGGCACGGCCTCGTCGGCCGCGTCTCCCGATCCTCCCCCTCCTTCCGCTTCCGTCCCGCTACCTCCCAGCGTCGACGCAGACGACCCCGTGTCCGGGACTGTGTCCGGGCGGATGTCGCCGGGCATGCCTCCGCCGCTTACACCAACAACAAGACCATAAAGGACATACATGTGCATGGTGGGATGGTGCAGAGCACAGTGGCGATCGATGGGTAGGGCGTTCGTTTTACGCAAGTGGATCACTGGATGGCAAAGCCGCCGCCGGCAAACCGACGCATATCCGGGTCGGGCTGGACCGGAATCTTACCAGGCGAGGCTGTGGGAGCGGCAGCGGCCTTGTCCTCTGCGGCGGCGCGCTTGCGGCGAGTCTCCTTCTTCTTCATCTCAAAGAATCGCTTCTTGACCGAGTTGAGCTCGCGGGCGAGGCGCTCGTTCTCGTACTTGAACTCGTTGACCTGAGCGACAGACATGTTGAGCTCTGCGGCGAGGGCCTTGAGCTCACGGGTCTTGGCCTTGAGCGAGGCCTGGTAGACGTTGAGCTGCTCGGCAACTTCGGGGCCCGGCTGGCGTGCGAGGACGTTCTTGAGCTCGATGTAGTACTTTTCCTTCTGCTGGATGAGAAGCTCCTTCTCGACAACCTCCTCGGTCTTGGCGATGAGCCGCTTTTGCAGAGTGTGGATCTTGCGGATGAGGTCGTACTTGTCCGGGTCGGTGCCCTCGAGCTTGCGCCAGCGATGGATGTTCATCGGGTTCTCCAGCTCCTCCGAAAGGGCCTTGACTCTGTTGCGCTCCTGCAGCAGCTCGCGCTGGAGCTGGAAGACGGCCATCTTGAGCGAGTCGACATGGGCTGTCTGCCCGTCGAGCAGCTTGAGCTGGCGGCGGAGCTCCTTGTTCTTCGACTTGAGGGCGCGAATCTCCTTGACCCGCTGCGCATACTGCTTCTCGCCCTTTTCGAGAGTGTAGCGGTTGATGGAGAGCTTCTCGTAGAGGAGGGCGAGCTCATCGTTGCGCCGGATGAGCTGCGTTCCGAGGATGTCACGCTCGTTGCGGGCGGCCTCGAGCGCCTTCTTCTGGCGCATTCGCTCGGTGTCGGCCTCGTTGATGATGTGCTTGAGCTTGGAGAGCTCCTCGGCCTGGGCCTGCTGGAACTTGCGAGCCTCGTAGATTTGAGAGCCGAGGACCGAGAGCTGAATTTGCTTGGCAGCAAAGTCCTTCTGCACCCGCATGTGGGTCATGTGCTCGGTAAAGATGGCCTGCTCCTTGACGACAATCTCCTCCTTGAGCTGGTCAATCTGGTGGTTGAGAATGTCAAACTTGCGCTTGTACTCGGCAATGTCGTCCTGTGCCTCGATGAGCTGCTTCGAGTAGAGGTTGCGGTCCGACCGCACCGCCTCGTACAGCATCTGCTGCTGCTTGAGCTTGACCTTGGCCTCGCGAAGCTTCTTCTTCTTGTCAAAGATGACAAGGTCCTTGATCTTGAGCTCTTCTTGCGTCTGCAGCAGCTTAGTCGAGAGCTCCATGGTGAGCGAGCGGAACTTGTCCTTCTTGAGCCCGAGCTCGTGGATCTTCTTGCGGTGGTCCTGCGCCGCCTTTTTGTACTTGTCGATGTGGGTCTCGAGGACCTTGCGGTCGTTGGCGAGCTTGCGGACGACCTCCTTCTGGGCATCGGTCTTGGTCCGCTCCTTCTCCGTCCCCTTCTTGAGCTTGCTCGTCTGTGCTGAGAGCGACGAGATGACCCGGTCCTGCTCGCGCTTGGCGAGCGTCTCGAGCTCGAGCTGGTGGTTGAGCTCGGTGATGGCCTTGAGCAGGTCGGCCTTCTCGGCCTCGACCACGTTGCGGGCGTTCTTGGCCTGGACCACCTTTTCCTGAAGCGCCGCGTACTTGCGCTGCTCGTCACGGACGAGCTTGCGAGTCCGCTCGATCTCAGCCTTGTGCTGGTCGAGCAGATTGTTCTGCTCTTTAGCGTTGCCCTGCAGCTGCACAATGGTCTCATGCGCCTTGTTGAGTGCGTCCTTGGCCGCAGCCTCGTTCGACTCCATCTGCCCGAGCAGCGACTGATAGTTCTCGACCTCGGCCTTTTGCTGGTCGACCTCGGCGAGCGTGTATTGCAGCTGGTCTTGCAGCGACGCAATCGACTCGTTCTTGGCATTGATCTCGTCCTGCGAGCTCGCGAGCTCGCGACGCAGGTCGTCGAGCTCCTTGTTCAGTTTTTGCTTCTCCTGCGTCTCGCGGCCAAACTCGACCACCCGAGTCCGGATCGCCTCCTGCAGCATGGTGATCTGCTGCTCGGCGGCGGCCTTCTCGGCTTGCAACTGCGAGGTGCGCTCACGCTCGGCATTGATGTCCAGCCGAAGCTGGTTGATCTTGGCCACATGCAGGTCCACCTCCTTCTGCAGCTCCTCCTTGACCCGGAACAGCTCGTTGACTGAGTTTTCCTGTCCGATCGAGAACCCAGCGCCCTGCTCCACAAGCTTCTTGAGCTTGTCGATGGCCTCCCGCAGCGAGTTGATCGTCTCCTTGGCCTTGGCCTCTTTGGCGTTGGCTACATCCACCATCTTCCATGCCTTCTCGATCTCCTTGGTCAACTGCGCAATGGTCTTCTGGTCCTCCTGCGACATCTTGAGCGCCTGCTGGACCTTGGCCGAGTTGGAAACAATCTCGCCCTGCAGCGCCTTGCATCGGTTCAGCAGTCGCTTCTCTGATGCATATGACTTGGAGAGCGCTCGGTGGAGCTTCGAATACTCTTGCCGAAACTTGGCCAGCGACGAGTCGCCCACCAGCTGCTGCAGCGTCTCCTGAAAGTCCCGCTCCAGCGCCTCAAACGCCGAAGCCTCGATTCCGAGCTCCTCCAGCTCTTTCGTAGTCGCCGAGCCCGGCTCCGCCTGTTCTCCCACCACCGCCCGACCCCGTCCGACCCCGTCCGACCCCGTCCGACCCCGTCCGACCCCGTCCGACCCCGTCCGACCCCGTCCGACCCCACCCGTTACCGTCCCGCCGTTCCCGCCCACAGCCGTTAGCGCCGCCGTCCGGTCCCCCCGCCCGTCCGCGCCAAGGAATAGCATCGGCGCCAGCCAGACCAACCACACGCCCCACGACCAGCAGCATGTCATAGCCAATGTTGTGTTGTGTGTTGTGTATGGTTGTGTTGTGAGTTGTGGTGGTTGTGGTGGTTGTGGTGGTTGTGGTGGTTGTGGTTGTGGTGATCGTTCTCAGGGGACTGTCCATGGGCAACGTGTGTAGGAGGGAGAAGAGGGGGGGGGGGGGGAGAAGAGGGAGGGAGGACATATGGATGGTATGCATGTGTATGTATGCACATGTGTGTGTGTTGTGTGTGTGTAGAGTACGTACCATGGTGAGTGGTGGGCGGTGTCAAGTGTGGCTCTGTGTATGGCTCTGGTATGGGTTCAAGGGAGTGGCCCTGCGACGGTGGTGAGCCAGCGGTTGGCCAACGACGACATCATCACCGCTCATCTGTACACGACAACCATGGTGCCGATGATGGTGTTGGTGATGAAGGTGCCAATGATTGTTCCGGTCACCCTCTGTCATCCAGTAATGGTAATGTTCCTCAGTTGCCATGTCATGCCGCATCATCACCATACCCATCACTGCCATAATCGGGCCCTTGCCCCGCACCGTTGACTCTCTCAATGGCTTTCATCGTTTGCCGGACAGCTCTTCCCTCTCCCGACCCCCCCCCCCCCCCCTCCCTCTCGGGGGGCGGCGGGCTGGAACCACCAAAACTTGTCAGCTGCGGTGTCCCCCACACCGCACAAGACATACATGCGAACCGCCCAATGAAATGTTCCAATGCCCAATGTCTTTGATTCCCGCCCGCGCCAGACACATAAGTAAAATACCACTGCGCAGGGGTTGTCATATTGATTGTTAACTCAAAATCACAAAACAAGTAAAAGACCTAAGAATGCTTTTTCTGAGCTTGCGTGTAAAATGGCGTGGATCCTCATACTACGCCTTTATTGGTACC